TGCTCCTTCACCATGATGACGGCTGCCGGGATGTCTCCTTGCCACTCGGGAGGCCAGATTAGAAAAACGATGCCCCGCGCACCTCCTGGGGCTGCTTCTGGACTCGCCGCTAACACATCTACGGTATCCTCTCGGCCACCGTAGAGTGCCCCACGTGTCCACTTCCTCTTCCGCTACTCGCCAGGGCGTCTGTCTGTCAAGAGAGACTTCCGGCACGCCGTTTTTTTTTTTTTTTTGCCCTTTCCCCGCACCGTCACCTGGTGGCGCTTCCTGGAAACCGCACCGAGGCCTTCGCTGTATTTTAAAAATCCCATTTATGGTCAATTTCTCCAGGTAATCAGACACCTGCAGAGAAGCTGCATATAACTCTTTGCCTCAAGACTTTTAGACAAGCAGAGGGTCAAAACTTGCATAAAATGGAAAATCATCATCATTAACATCAGTACCATCTAAATTAAGAGCTTCTAATTGTTTAAGGGAAGGTGGAGGCTGAAATGAACCGGCCCATCCAACAGAGGCCACTATCTGGAGGACCAACAAAGGAAAACAGAGCAGAAAATACGGGCGCACATGCGCTTCCAGTTCATGGAGTTATTGAAGGGGGGGGGGGAAATTATATTCTTGATTACAAAAACAGCTGAAAATCTGTTAGAGCGAAAACAGCCATGGTGATCTACAGAAGAAAAGGGAGAATGGAAAGTAAAGATCATTCATGTCTTGAAATAAATTGTCTATAGTCCGTGACAACCTGTGGGAGGTGATCCTAGTGTGATATATTAGTGCATGAGTCTAGCAAGGAAATCACATCACCACAGGGCTCAGCGCTATACAACCTAGAACTAAGTCCTCATTATTTGTCAGAAACTCAAAACAGAACTGAACAAAAGTGTTTTAACAACTTTCAATTTTAAGAAGGGATGCTATCTCATTTTCAGACGCCATGGCTCCTCACTAACAAAACACAATGTCACAGACAAAAAACAAGGCTTATCAGGTTTTCCTAAGTTATTTCAGTACTCCATCACTTAAAAATGGAATAATGTTGACAATTTTTTTTTTTGAGATGGAGTCTTGCTCTGTCGCCTAGGCTGGAGTGCAGTGGTGAAATTTCGGCTCACTGCAACCTCCGCCTCCTGGGTTCAAGTGATTCTCCTGGCTCAGCCTCCCAAGTAGCTGGGACTACAGGTGTCTGCCACCATGCCCAGCTAATTTTTGTATTTTTAGTAGAGACAGGGTTTCACTATGTTGGCCAGGCTGGTCTCGAATCCCTGACCTTGTGATCTGCCTGCCTTGGTCTCCCAAAGTGCTAGGATTACAGGTGTGAGCCACCACACCCGGCTCTAATGTTGACAATATTATACCAACAAGGTTTGGATCGCGAGTGACTTTTCTAGAGGTTAAGAGCAAAAGTTATGAAATCACAGTACCATCATGGGAGTCTAGCTTTCACCATTTGAAGTTGTGTAGGCGGCCAGATGCGGTGGCTCACGCCTGTAATCCTAGCACTTTGGGAGGCCGAGGTGGACGGATCACCTTAGGTCAGGAGTTCAACACCAGCCTGGTCAACATGGTGAAACCCCAACTCTACTAAAAATACAAAAATTAGCTGGGTGTGGTGGTGTGCACCGTAATCCCAGCTACTCAGGAGGCTGAAGCAGGAGAATTGCTTGAACCTGGGAGGTGGAGGTTGCAGTGAGCCGAGACCACACGATTGCACTGCAGCCTGGGTGACAAGAGTGAAACTCCGTCTCAAAAAGAAAAAATAAATAAGATAAAAAATAAAGTTGTGTAGGCCAGGCGCGGTGGCTCATGCCTGTAATTCTGGCACTTTGAGAGGCCGAGGTGGGAGGATCACCAGGTCAGGAATTTGAGACCAGCCTGACCAATATGGTGAAACTCTGTCTCTACTAAAAAATACAAACATTAGCCTGGTGTGGTGGCGCATTCCTGTATATCCCAGCTACTCAGGAGGCTAAGGCAGGAGAATCGCTTAAATCCGGGAGGCGGAGGTTGCAGTGAGTCAAGATTGTGCCACTGTACTCCAGCCTGGGCGACAGAGTAAGACTTTGCCTCAAAGAAACAAACAAACAAACAAACAAAAAAATATATAAAGTGTGAACTTGGGAAAGTTATTTAATAATCTTATTGTGTGTTAGTTTCCCCATTTATAACATGGATGAGTAATATGTATCCTGTTTCTTAGAGTCAGTGGGAAGGTTAAATAGCAAAATGAAGGTAAAAGTAATTAGAATGTAACAGTCACATTACAATCACTCTATAAATATTCTTCTGCCACAGCCTCCCAAGTAGCTGGGACTACAGGTGCGCCCCACCATGCCTGGCTAATTTTTGTATTTTTAGTAGAGACAGGGTTTCACCGTATTGGCCAGGATGGTCTTGAACTCCTGACCTCGTGATCCGCCTGCCTCGGCCTTCCAGAGTGCTGGGATTACAGGTGTGAGCCACCGTGCCAGGCCAGCCAACTATTTTCTTAAGAAAGATAGTTGGTCACCTTGGGAGGCTGAGGCAGAAGAATCGCTTGAACTCGGGAGGCAGATGTTGCAGTGACCTGAGATCCCGCCACTGCACTCCAGCCTGGGTGACAGAGCGAGATGCAGTCTCAAAACAAAACAAAACAAAACAAAACAAAACAAAACAAAACTAATGAACATAGTCGGCTGGTGACGGTGGCTCACGCCTGTAATCCCAGCACTTTGAGAGGCCAAGCCGGGGGCGGATCACTTGCAGTCAGGAGTTTGAGAGCAGCCTGGCCAACATGGTGAAACCCGTCTCTCCTAAAAATACAAAAATTAGCTTGGCGTGGTGGCACAGGCCTGTAATTTTAGTTACTCCACAGGCTGAGGCAGGAGAATCACTGGAACCCGGGAGGCGGAGGTTGCAGTGAGAGGTGATCAAGCCATTGCACTCCAGCCTGGGTGACAAGAGCAAGACTTGGTCGGGGGGCGGGGGGGAAGAGGAAAGCTGCCCGCAAAGCCTGCACCTTGGACACCTCGTCTGCACCAACATTTGGGAAATTATTCTTCTTGTTTCTCTGGAATATGTATATTTACGTTCTTTACATGTCTGTTTCACGTTAAGGAAAATATTTCTGGAGCAACCAAATTTTTTCTTCCTTTTTTGGGGGGGGGGGAGGGCACGGAGTTTCGCACTTATTGCCCAGGCTGGAGTTCAATGGCGCCATCTCAGCCCACTGCAACCTCCGCCTCCCGGGTTCAAGCGATTCTCCTGCCTCAGCCTCCCCAATAGCTGGGATTAGAGGTATGCACCACCACGCCCAGATAATTTTTTTTTTTTTTTGTATTAGAGACGGGGTTTCGCCATTTTGGCCAGGCTGGTATCGAACTTCTGACCTCAGGTGATCTACCTGGTTCAGCCTCCCAAAGTGTTGGGATTACAGGCGTGAGCCACTGCGCCCGGCCTCCAGTTTTTTTTTTTTTTTTTGAGACGGAGTCTTGCTCTGTAGCCCAGGCTGGAGTGCAGTGGCCGGATCTCAGCTCACTGCAAGCTCCGCCTCCTGGGTTCACGCCATTCTCCGGCCTCAGCCTCCCAAGTAGCTGGGACTACAGGCGCCCGCCACCTCGCCCGGCTAGTTTTATGTATTTCTTAGTAGAGACGGGGTTTCACCGTGTTAGCCAGGATGGTCTCGATCTCCTGACCTCGTGATCCACCCGTCTCGGCCTCCCAAAGTGCTGGGATTACAGGCTTGAGCCACCGCGCCCGGCCTTTTTTTTTTTTTTTTTTTTTTTTATGAGACGGATTTTCTTCGCTCCTGTTGCCCAGGCTGGAGTGCAATGGCGTGATCTTGGCTCACTGCAACCTCCACTTCCCGGGTTCTAGCGATTCTCCTGCCTCAGCCTCTCGAGTAGCTGGGATTACAGACATTAGCCACCACGCCCGGCTAATTTTGTATTTTGTATTTTTTGTTTGTTTGTTTGTTTATTTATTTTTTTTTAGTAGAGACGGGGTTTCGCCGTGTTGGCCAGGCTGGTATGGAACTCCTGATCTCAGGTGATTCGCCCGCCTCGCCCTCCCAAAGTGCTGGGATTACAGGCGTGGCCATCGCGCCCAGCCAAATATTTTTCAAACACTAATTTTGCATAAGGATCAAGATTTGCAGAAAATACAAATTAAAGAGATCTTTTAAATGAAAAACTCATCATAAAAGTCTCAAAAAATAATACTTACGAACAATAAATTAGAATGGGCAATGTTAAGTACTTGAAATAACAAAGGTTTTAGAGTCAGGGTTTCTGCAGCTTCCCTAGCTGTATAAAGAGACTGTTAGAGAGGATATCCTAAGATGCCTTCCAAGTTTACCCACCTCTAACTCGGAACAAGGCAATGTAAACTAATTTGGTTTACCGGAATTCAAATACGTACAATTCAACATAATAAATTGAACCGAAATTGAACACCTGCTTGCGTAAACCTAGTCGGCTCCAGTTGTTCTGCCTGCGGATTGGCCAGTCTAGAGTTCCAGGGGTGTGGCCAAAGGTCTGTGAGGCGGGGCCGTAGGCTGCTTCAATCAGGCATCGCCGCGGTCAGCCTCGCGGCGCGGCCACGCCCCCACGCCGGCCCTTCCCGGGGTCCTTCCGTGCGCGTTGATATGATTGGCCGGCGAATAGTGGCTCTCTTTTTCTCCCTGACTGTCCGAAGATAGGCAGCCATCATGGTGAGTCTCCCCGGGTCGGTGCAGTCATCTGCCGCGTATCCGAGCCATCCTTCGTCCCCGGGTCCCAGTATCTGAGCTATAGGCGCGCGAAGGCCAGTTGCTCTTCTCTGGCCGTTTCTGTCGGAGGATGGTTGTCGAGAGGCTCGGGGCTGTTGGCAGCGAATCCGGGCTGGCAGGCTGCGTTGCAGACCCGGACACGCTGGGCTTCGGGCTACAGCGCCTGGGCAGTGCAGGAACTGTTGGCGGTTGTTGACTTCGTGGAGCACAGTGGATGGGGGTGCGGGGCGGGATAGATGGACACTGGCAGGCACATCTCGTCTGCAGTTCCAAATTGGGCTAGGTAGGCGGCTTGCAGGTGATGGTAGCCCAAGAGGTGAAGAAGGTGCCGGCAGCGCCTGGGCGAGTTGCGGCAAGTGAAACCATTCCCATGTGTAAGCTAGAAAACTTGTCAGCTGAGTGGATCTTCATGTTTCATACTGGGGAAACAGGCCCTGGAAAGGGATGTTATAAAAAGGTAGTCCTGCCCTCCGTCATGCGTTATTAGCTTCTCCAGCATCCGTTTTTAACCTTATCTGCAATCTTTTTTTTTCCCACCAAGAATTGAGTACCACTGATGTGAATTTAATTTGATGTGGTTTCTCAAAGTGAAATGGAGAAACTCTAGCAAGTCATTTGCTGCTATGAAAGTCTCTTGCGCCTCCTTTTTGGTAAAATTATTAGTGCAAATTGCTTAATGCCTACATTCTTTATTAGGTATTAAGTAAAGGTGCAGTTCAGTCCTTCAGAAGGGAATACCGTTTTCTCTGATCTGTGCTGTGGCCATTCTAGAAGGATAGACGACATGCACGTAGTGAGTACAAGGTTTGGGTCACGTTTGTGCAAGACATAATAAACACAGTTCATTGAGTGTGACCTTTATATGAGCCACAGCAGTTTTTACCCCAGAGAAGTGGTTCTCCACTCGGAGTGATTTTTTCCCCTAAGGGAACAGTTGGCTAAGTCTGGAGACATTTTTGATTGTCACAACTGGGAAAGGTGGGAAGTCCTTCTGGCGTCTAGTGGTTAGAGGGCTGGGATTTTTATAGTTATTCTAAAACACACAGTCCCCACAACAGGAATTATCCATATGGAAATATCAGTAGTGCTGAGGTTGAGAAACCCTACCCTAGAGATACATATAACCTAGTGAAGTAAGTTGTACAGATTCATGTAAAACCGTTATCTTTTCTTGGTATTTTATGTATTTGTTAGGTCTATCCTGTGAATTTGGCCCTGCCGAGGGGGTTTTATTTACTTTAATTTGCTACATGACTAATGGCTACAAATTGGACTGCAGCATTCTAGGTCTTGAAAAATCACAGCAAGGCCAAGAAAAGTTTGAGTAGTTTTACTAACCAGAGTGTTTATGTTTTCAGAACGACACCGTAACTATCCGCACTAGAAAGTTCATGACCAACCGACTACTTCAGAGGAAACAAATGGTAAGGAAGGGCATGTCAATCTTTGCTTAATTGTCCTTTACTCTGAAGATGTATTTTATCATAGTGAACACTAAACTTGATATCTCCTTTTAGGTCATTGACGTACTTCACCCTGGGAAGGCAACAGTGCCTAAGACAGAAATTCGGGAAAAACTAGCCAAAATGTACAAGACCACACCGGATGTCATCTTTGTATTTGGATTCAGAACTCATTTTGGTGGTGGCAAGACAACTGGCTTTGGCATGATTTATGACTCCCTGGATTATGCAAAGAAAAATGAACCCAAACATAGACTTGCAAGAGTAGGTGTCTTTTCATTTGTTCATCAGCTACTGAAGACCTATTTTTTTCAATGGCGTTGTGTTGTGAGTGTGGTAAAATGGGCAAGACCAAGCAATCTGGGAGACAACTCTGAAGGGATTAAGAAAAAGTTATTTGATAAAATGCACAGGTGGAGTACGGAGGTTCAAAATTGAAGTCTGGCATTTGAACTGAGTTCAGAAGGGCAGCTGAAGTAGTGTTCTTGGAGTTGGACTGGAGTAAGGGTTGTTTTCCAGAGGGGAAGTAAGGGAATGTGTTTGGAAAGGTAGCCTGGCACCAAATTTGTTTAGTTTGGATTAAGTCTGAGTCTGGGCTTAAACCCGTAGGTAGCCAGGAACCAGGAAAGGTTTTTGATTGTATACTGAGTGTCAAACACTGCAGAGTGAACTATAGCAGTGATCTGGGCTAGCTCCCCAGTTTACATTCTAGTAAGAAGCATTACCTTGAAGTGCTTCTTTTGTTTGTTCCTTTAACTCACTTTACCCCATGCTGTTAGATGAACCTTCCCATAGGATAGCTGTGAGGGAACATTCTGGTGATGTCGTAGATAGAGGCTGCACTTTTTTTTTCTGAGACAGTCTAGCTCCCAGGCTGGAGTGCAGTGGCGCAATCTCGGCTCACTGCAACCTCTGCCTCCCAGGTTGACTCTTCTGCCTCAGCCTCCTGAGTAGCTGGGATTATAGGCATGTGCCACCACACCTGGGTAATTTTTGTATTTTTAGTAGAGACAGGGTTTCACCGTGTTGGTCAGGCTGGTCTCAAACTCCTGACCTCGTGATCCGCCCGCCTCGGCCTTCCAGTGTTGGGATTATAGGCGTGAGCCACCACGTCCAGCCGAGGCTGCACTATTTTTAACTGATTTTGCATTCATGTTCTTAGAAGGCCTTGCTGAGCTGGTGACATTGAAGCTGAGATCCTTGTAAAGATTTGAAAGTAGTCTTTGTAAAGATACAGAAACAGTCTTGTAGGCCCCAGGAACAGCAAGTGCAAAGGTGGGCAGAGTGGCGATGAGTAGATCAGAATCTCCATGGTGTGGGGGTTGTAAAGGCTTCTTTGTCAGCAGGGAGTAATGGGGAGTTGCAATGGGAAGAGATCCCTCAGCCACTTTGGAGGTGCCTTGTTTTGGTAGTGCAAAAGAAGAAAAAAATAGTGATCTGTGAGCTCAAGTCTGGACAAGAACAGCCAGTCTCCCAAACTTCCTGTTCAGAGAGTATTGAGTGGACCATTTGTTTTCCTGTGAGGCTATTCTATCCTTAAAATCCCTTGATGATGCTCTCTGTTCTAGCAAAAACATGTATTGAATATACTTGTAAAGTTTTGGTTTAGAAAGCTGTGTTAAGCGCAGACTGGGTCAGTTTCCCTACCAGAGTGGTGGGTAATGATTTTAATGTTTGCAAGTCACCTAGATGTACTGTTTTCTCATTCAGCATGGCCTGTATGAGAAGAAAAAGACCTCAAGAAAGCAACGAAAGGAACGCAAGAACAGAATGAAGAAAGTCAGGGGGACTGCAAAGGCCAATGTTGGTGCTGGCAAAAAGGTATAGTTCATCAAGGAAAATACAGAAACATCATTAATTGTAGGTCTTTAGTTTCTAGGAAAGAAGGAATTTTATTTATTTTTTAAATAACGTTTCTTAATGTTTCTTCTTTTCCCTCTTCTTCTGGATTACAGAAGGTAACATGTTTTAAGAAATTATGTAGCATAGTGTCTTAACACCTCAGTAGAGTAGCTTGGCCCACCCCTTGTCACCTCACAGCACAATCTGGGGGCCACATTGGTTCATTGATCCTGGTGGGCACCTTTCAAGCCTATCACAAGAAGTTTTAGTTTTACTAATTGGCATAGAACCTTCAATGCAGAGCGAATCTCATTCCTTGTGATTTTACTTGTTAGTATGGACACTGGTTTAAGAAGCAGTTGGATCAATGTGGCCCGTGTTTTCCTGGCACACTGGAGAGGCAACTGAGATCTCAGGATTGCTTTCCTCTCCAGTTGGCCAAGACAAGTGATTTTAGCGTTAAGCAGCTTTTTACCAGCTTTGCTAGCTGTAAATAGTTGGACATTGTAAATCATTGAATAGAATTAAGGTGTTGGGTTGTTAAATTAACAAATAATCAAGTGTTCTGTGAACTTTTTTTTTGTTTTTTTTGCTTTTCCTCTCTACTTTCTTGGATTTCTTGTTCATCAGAAATGAAGTGTCTGGCAGGTACTGAGATTGTAAGCACGGTGTGGGGATGCATCACCTTCACTGAGTTTGCTTTGATGATGCTTTGCATGTTGGCCTTTGGATGACAGTTTTATAGTATGGTCGATTATAATGCCAGTGCCATTTAGGCTGGTACAAGAGTAATTGCGGTGGCAAAAACCGCAATTACTTTTGCACCAACCTAATATGTTTTAAGATAGTGTATTATGAGCAAAGGAGAAAACTTTTAAAATCATGTTTATTTTGGAAACTCCAAAATGCATGTTACATGTGAAGTAACTCACTGGAGGAAGGTGAGTGCTTTACTACTTCCAAGTTAAAAAGTAGGCACCGTTTAACTTGCACTTGGGGAATGCTGTATCCACATACTTAGGAAATGGCTTCAGTTAACACTGGGCTTGGGAAGGGCTGTCTTATCCGAGGAGCAGTCCTCTCTGGAGCCATGAAACCAGCCTGGCAGCTCTGGTAATAAACTAGTCTGAAATCCGGCAAAGCCTCTGTCCTGTTTGGATACATGGAAAGCTGCCTTTTACCATTTCCATTGCTTTTTATTACTTAATCTCCAACTTTCGGCCTGGTGTCTTTTTTTTTTTTTTTTAATAGAAAATTTTTGAGGTAATTATTCATATCAAAGTCTTTGGTGGTTACGCTTTTTCCCACAAGCACTTGGTTAAAATGGCCCATTACTTCATTTATTTATTTTTTGAGACGGTCTCTCATCACCCAGACTGGAGTACAGTGGCATGATCATGGTTTACTGTACCTCTCGGGCTTGGGTGATTCTCCGACCTCAGCCTTGTAGCTGGGACCACAGGCATGTGCCACCATGCCCTGCCAGTTTTTTGTAGAGACAGGATTTAGCCGTGTTGCTCAGGCTGCTGTTGAACTCCCAGACTTGAGCGATCCTCTTGTCTAAGCCTTTCAAAAGTGCTGGGATTACAGGTGTGAGCCACTGCGCCCAGCCTGTTACCTCATTTAAAACAAATTTTGTACATCTGAACAGTCTAAAATTGTAATGTGTAAAGTGGGGTAGGAGTGGGGTGGGCATAGTGGGATTTTGAGTCAATGAAGGCCCTTGTTCTTGTGGCATCCTTTTGCAGTGATTCCCTGCCAGGCAAGGCAGTAAACCTGGGATTCCCTGCCCAGGACTGTAATCACATTGACGTCCCAGCGCCATGGAGTATGTAATGAATGAACTGCCAGCAGAACTACTCACTAACCGCTCCCTGTTTGTGAGGATTGTACCTGTTGAGAGAAGTTGCAAAAGAATTAGTCAAAATTTGTCCTCTGACCTAGGTCTGAAGGACATTTAACACATTGATTCTTCTCTTCATCCAGCCTTTGAGTCCTACGAGTTAGTGCGCTTAGCCTTTGAGTCCCACATGTACGGAGGAGCTACCTGTGGAGACCTGAGCCATCACTATTCCTGCTTCGTTACACTGGTGCCTCTCACCAGCACTGCTCTGAAAAGCCAGCTAGAAAAATCAGTGCTTTTGAGTACATAAATTCTTTGGCTCCAAAGAAATGCCATAGCAATAGTGCTTTTAATTCAGTTTTGTTCAGATGTTAGAACTGGTATTTGTTGTTGCCTTTTGGTTGCAGTGGAGTTATATACTAAGTTACTTATACTAAGGCATTAGTAGTCTCATATCTGAAGAGCAATTGTATTTTTAGTTCAGCTAAATTGATGCCTCTCTTTAAAGACTAACTTGTACTACTTTTGTGGCTGTGAATGGTATCTTTTATTGAACTGAGGCAGCTTTTAAAAGACTTGACTGATGATTTAGAGCACTCCCATTGAGGTTAAATTAGACTTGAATCTGTAATGATTCTCATATCTGTTCCTGATGTGTGTCCAGCACAGTGTTGCTGGGCAGAGCAGAGGGGCAGAGGCTCAGGTATGTACTTCATTGACCAGTGGGCAAGGCCATCCTGGGTACCACATTGGCTTAATGATCTCTTCATTGTGAAGTTGGGCCACCTTGTTTGCATAAGAACTACAGTAATCAGGCAACGTATTGTCAGAATTGGGAGGAATAAAATCAGTGAGTCTCTAAGGAGTGCTCTGTATACAATTGCAAAGAACAAAATGGTCAATTTTAAGGTACCTGATTGCATGCACTTAAATGCAGATTATTTTTGAGTTTGAAAAGGGACTATTAATGAAATCTTTCTTTTCCCTCCTTTCTCTTTTTGCCTTCCCCACCACTGATTTAGTGAGCTGGAGATTGGATCACAGGTATAATTCAAGCTTTTCATGTAGTCATGTAGATCACTAGACTCCTTGGTGTACTGATGTAGCAGTTTAAAAGCAGATCATGTGTAGTACATTTAGAAGTAGATCTACAAATATTCTGAAGAGTTGTAACCTTTTAAAATATAGTGACATGGTTTTGTTTTTAAGATTTAGCAATATTTAGCCCATTTTTGTTTTATTTCTAACTTGAATGTTTGTAAGTTTTATTTTTTGATGCTTACATTGTGTTAATATAACATCAAAATAACTTGATATTCTAGGTTACTAATAATTGTGGTGCATGAATGTTACTACTTTTGGAATTTAAGACTTTAAAGAATTTTAAAGGCAGTTGCTGACTAAACTTCTTTCTCTTGATTCACAGCCGAAAGAGTAAAGGTGCTGCAGTAAAGGCTACCTGTGTCCATTTTGGATTTTTCACAAGCAGATTAATAAACTAAAAACTTTCATGTGTCTGGTTGTTTGAAATGTATTTGCGGTTTATTGGGACTGCTAGGAGGTTAGTCTGCTGATTTAAGTTGCTGCCCAAGTTCACATGCTCCATGAAGCATTCAGTGAAAACAATGTCATGGGGTGGTGTTTGTTTGCTGATTGGTTTATAGCTTAGGTGGGTTCATTGGGAGTCAAACTTGTAAATGCTGTGTAAGAACCATGGCCGCTCTGGATGCGGTGTAGTGGCTCACAGTAATCAACACTTTGGGAGGCTTGCGTGGGGTGATTACACTTAAACCCAGGAACTCGAGGCTGCAGTGAGATGTTTTGTTTTTTTTCCCCCCCAGACACGGTCTAGTTTCGTTACCTAGGCTGGTCTTGATTGAACTCATGGACTGAAGCCATCCTCCCACCTTGGCCACCCAAAGTGCTGTACTTTGGCCACGTAAAGTGCTGGCATGAGCCACCACGTCCGGCTAAGAGTGTCTTTAAAAAGTAGCATGTCTAGATAAACTGGAGAAATCTCAGGAAGCAGTAGAGAACTGAGACTTGGTTGGGCATGAAGGGGACCCAGGAGAAGCAATACCATGAAGGCAGAAGGGTTGAGGTTGCAGGAAGGAAGGGTGGTGGAATGTTGAGGAGAAAAGATGGTGAGAGCCCCTGCGTGGAGCACCTACCGACGAGGGCAGGGCTGTGAAGAGTTAAGTCCTGGGGCTGGGCCTGCTGGCCAGGGAGTGATTGGAGTTCTGTTTTTGTATCTACAGAGGCTGTGTACTTTGGTTTGTAGGGCCTCTGGCCCTGTGGGTTCTCTTGCTAAGGAATCTGCTACTCCTTTGCTAGAACCAGGAAATAGCTTGCTAGTGTGGAAGAATGGGGTCTTTGATGTGATTGGCATTTTTTGATGAACAGTGCATAGAGGCTGAAGGTAATGCTAGGGGCAGCAAAGGTTGGGGTTCGAGATGCAGTTTCCTGTGACTGAGCTGGAGTGTGGAAGCAGAGAAGGCACCCTATGAGCAACTTGCGGAGGCAAGGTGGTGAGGATCCTGACAGTGCTGCAGGAACAGGATGGGACATGGAGCTGGGGTTGATTGCTAAGTTAAGCAGGGAGAGTGGAAGGAAGTAATTGAGTGAGAACTGAAAGGTAGGAAATAGTTTCTGATGTGAAGAAAAAGGGCATAGCTGCAGAGAGCCTGAATGATTGAAGGTTGGCATCAAAGTCACAAAGTGGGGAGGCTTTTCTGTTGGACTGTGCTCAGGGCAGAAGTTGTAGTCTTTCAGCCGGTAGCCTTGGGAAGGGAGGTGGGATGAAACTCAGGCTCGGCCATGTTTTTCCAGAGGATCCACTTGGGTTGGGATATTAAAGAAAACGTGGCAGTCTTGCTGTGAGACTTGTTAGGCATAACATTTGGAAACTTGGCAAATTACACATAAAGGTGTGGATTTCCTACCTCTTGAAATATCAGAAGCAGCAATAGTAGCCCACCTTCCTGTGTGATGACAATTGGCAGGGCTCCAGGCTGGCTGCGTCTCTTGGCGCAGGTATTTTCCAGTCTCCACAGCCTTTGCGCCTACAGCCAGCTAACACCCTCCTCTACTTGCCCTCTGGTCTTCTGTCCCTGCTGCCTGCTTCTCTTCCATCTAGTCCGTCCGAGGGTTTTTTTGGGGAAGTCACCTGATACCTTGTTTGGGTTAATTTGCATTTAAATTGTGCTCCCAAGGGTATCTGCTAACTACCCTGACTCACAAGGCTCTTTTGAGGCTGAGGATGTAACAACTGTGAAAACAGTTCGGAAACTAGTGCTAAGCAATTGTGTGTCACGAAGCACGGACTTGTGGGAACTCAAATTGTGGACAGATGCAGCACATTGTAGGCCCTCACAGTAACCAGGCTACCCTGTGCTGTCAGCAGGCTTTGGAAGAGCCTCCATGAAATGCAAACTTGACTAAGCTGAATCAATATTGAGGGAGCACATCCTTCCACTTGGCACTGATGGGAAGCTGTGGCTTAAATGAGAGATAGTAGGGATCTTTGAAGAGTGATGAGAAAAGTAGAGGTGGTTCTGGGAGAGTACCTGCAGTGAATATTTGGGGTGCTGCTTTTTTAGCTTTTCCTAGCACCACACCCATGAGTTCTATTTGTAGCTGGATGTGCCTATGTAATCAGGCAGCTTTCAACTCTGCACTTTTCCTTTCTTCCCTGGCAAGTTGCTTATTTTAGGCTGCCCTTAAAGACAGCATCTTACATGGTGCTCTCATGGAGCTGAGACAGGTGCTGTCCTAAACTCTATGAACAATGATCTCCATTAGTCTGCGCGCGTGTGTGTGTGTGTGTGTATATATATATATATATTTATTTTTTGAGATGGAGTCTCACTGTCACCCAGGCTGGAGTGCAGTGGCAGAATCTCGGCTCACTGCAAGCTCTGCCTCACAGGTTCACGCCATTCTGCCTTAGCCTCCCAAGTAGCTGGGACTGTAGGTGCTTGCCACCACGCCCGGGTAGTTTTTTGTATTTTTAGTGCAGACGGGGTTTCACTGTGTTAGTCAGGATGGTCTTGTTCTCCTGACCTCATGATCTGCCCGCCTTGGCCTCCCAGAGTGCTGGGTTTGCAGGCGTGAGCCACCATGCTCAGCCTCATCTGCATAGTAACTCCAAGAAGCATGTCTTACTGGACCCACGCTGGAAAGGGTGTAGAGCAGTTAAGCATCTTACCACTGTCTCAGCCATCAAGTGGTGGGGATAGGATTGGAATGCAATAATCTGACTCCAAGACACTGCATTTTTTCAGGCACTCCAGTATTAAGCTACTTCGCATTGTACATATATAATGGTACATAAAACTCATGACTGCTAGCAGGGTGCCAATTGCCGTGGGTTTATTGGACAAGTGTTATTTGGCTAGTCAAATTCCCCATTTACTGACCACCTGCTATGTGTCCCAGTTCTGGAAGTTGGGGATAAAGAAGCTGTTCTGTCTTGAAAGCTCTGAGGTAGCTAACCACGATCTCACGGTTTGGCTTCTGTTCCTTTCTGTGAAGTAGCACATAGTGTATGACTGTGACATGATAGAAATTGAGAGCCAAGAAGATCAGTGCAGGGAGGCTGGGTCTTGGAAGGCTTCCAGGAGACATACAGCAGTCCCCACCTACCTAGTTTCAGTTACTGTCCGTCAACTGCAGTCTGGAAAATTATCATGGCTCAATGGTCTGGGATCACCCAAAAGTGATGATCCTCTTGAAGTGTCATCAGAAGGTCAATAGTAGCCTAACACATGTCACCATGCCTATGTCATTCACCTCCCTTCCTCTCACCACATAGGTATTTTATCTTCCATCACGAGTGTGAATACAGTTAGGTATTGAGAGGAAAAGAGTTCATGCAACCTACTACAGTATAATTGTTTATTAGTTGTTTATATCTGCCTAAATTATAAACTTTAATTATGTATATATAGCAACAAACTTGGTATAGATAGAGTTTGTGGTTTCAGGCATCCACTGGGGGTCTAGGAATGTATGCCCCATGGATAAGGGAGGATTACTGTAACACCAGCGGGGGCAAGAGACATGAGCTGATTTGGATGCACAGGAGAAAGTTCTCATTTGAGGCCATGAAAAATAGGAAAGAAAGCGGGGAGATGGGAGCAGGCAGTGTGGGACAAGGTGAGACCAGTCATTCCGCAGGGGGGAAGAGTGAAGATGAGACTGGGGAGGTGGGAGCAGAGTGGGTAGGTAGACATGAATCACCAAGATGGAAGGCCCTGCGTGACTTTGTTGCCTTTGGGCAGAGTTTTGCACAATGCATTTCTGGTGGGAGATACTTCATTTCAAAAATAGTCTTCAGGTTGGCTGCGAGAGCTCAGGAGTATGACACCTGACTCATTTATGCTGGCAGAGAGGCTCTCCTGGGTTTTAGAGCTCTGTGAACACACCTCCGTACATTCATCCAACTGTCCTTCCCCATCCCATCCACTCACCCTTGAACTTCCCGCATGCCAGATGTTGAGGGGAGGCAGAAATGAGACCTGCTTCCCAGTGCCCACAGTCTGGATGAGAGTACAGGTGAGGTTCTGGTAAGAAATGAGGCTGGAGAGGTCAGCGGGGAATAGATCAACACTCTGACTGCTCATCATACATGTTGGAGAGGCGATTGGTGTAGGTTATGGGTCGATGAGATGGCATCCAAGTATTTATTTTATTTATCTTTTTGAGACGGAGTTTGGCTCTTGTTGCCCAGGCTGGAGTGCGATGGCAAGATCTCGCCTCACCGCAACCTCCGCATCCCGGGTTTAAGCGATTCTCGTGCCTCAGCTTCCCGAGTAGCTGGGATTACGAGCATGCGCCACCATGCCTGGCTAATTTTGTATTTTTAGTGGAGATGGGGTTTCTCCATGAACTCCAGACCTCGGGTGATCCGCCCACCCCGGCCTCCCAAAGTGCTGGGATTACAGGTGTGAGCCACCGCGCCTGGCCCCAGGTATTAGTAACTCGGGAAAAGGGACCAGATCAGGAATCAGGAGACACAGTTCCTGATCTCCACTCAGCTTCCAATCAGCTGGTGCCATGGATGGGCAAAACACTTCCCTTTTCTGGGTTTCTATTTCCCTCTCTGTGTCTGTGTGTCTGCTATCCAGGCTGGATGAGTAGTTTCCAAACCTGGCACGTGGGGCCTTTTTTTTTGTTTTGTTTTTTGAGATGGAGTGTCACTCTGTGACCCAGGCTGGAGTGCAGTGGTGCTGTTTCGGCTCACTGCAACCTCCGCCTCCCAAGTTCAAGCGATTCTCCTGCCTCAGCCTTCCAAGTAGCTGGGATTACAGGTGCCTGCCACCATGCTTGGGTAATTTTTTTGTATTTTTAGTAGAGACGGGGTTTCACCATGTTGGCCAGGCTGGAGGCTTGTTAAAAATACAAATGCTGGCTGGGTGTGGTGGCTCATACCTGTAATCCCGGCACTTTGGGAGGCCGAGGTGGGTGGATCACTTGAGGTCAGGAGTTCGAGACCAGCCTGGCCAACATGGTGA